TGCAGCAGCTGCAGCCTCCCATGGCAGGGTGAGACCAGCCTCACCCATCAGTCCACCCACAGCAGTTGCAACTCAGCCACAATAGGAGGGTGCCCACAGCCAACCCACGGACATCCCAGAAGTGCCTGGCTCTGCTGACCAAGGAGATTGCACTATTGGGCACAATGGGATGCCTTTGACACAAGACCACTACTTTCAAGACCAAGAGACTTTGGCTGACCTACCTAAGACATAGAAACAAACACAAAGAATCAAACAAAATGAGGAAACAGAGGGATATGTTAAAAAAAAAAAAAAAGGCAAAACGTCAGAAAAAGAACTAAATGAAAATTAAAGGAACTAAATAGTCATAAAGGTTACCAAACTTGGGACATGAGTTGATGAACTCAGTGAGAACTTCAACAAAGGCATATTTTTTTCATATTTATTTATTTTGAGAGAAAGAGCATGAGCAGGGGAAGAGCATAGAAATGGGGGGGGGAGGTAGAGGAGAGAGAGAGAGAGAGAGAGAGAGAGAATATCCCAAGTTAGCTCCACACTATCAGCACGGAGACAGACGTAGGACTTGAACTCAAAACCATTGAGATCATGACCCAAGCCAAAATCAAAAGTTGAAGGCTTAACCGACTGAGCCACCCAGGTGCCCCAGGCATGGAAAATATTTTTCAAGTTGTGCCTGGGTGGCTTAGTCAGTTAAGCTTCTGACTTCTGCTCAGGCCACGATCTCATGGTTCATGAGTTCAAGCCCCACATCAGACTCTGTGCTGACAACTCAGAGCCAGGAGCCTGCTTCAGATTCTGTGTCTCCTTCTATCTCTCTGCCCCTGCCCCCCCTCTCAGAAATAAATAAACATTTAAAAAACTATTTTAATAGATTTTTTAAAAGGAACCATTAAGGGGTGCCTGGGTGGCTCAGTCAATTAAGCGTCCAACTTTGACTCAGGTCATGATCTCAAGATTTGTGGGCTCAAGCCCTACATCGTGCCCTGTGCTAACAGCACAGAGCTTGCTTGGGATCCTCCCTCTCTCTCTGCCCCTCCCCTGCTTGTACTCTCTCTGTCTCTCTCAAAATAAATAAATAAAAACTTTTTAAAAAAGGAACATCAAAGCTAAAGAACATAATAACTGAAATGAAAAATACACTAGACAGAATCAACAGCAGATTAGAGGATGCAGAAAATGGACCAGTGATTTGTTTGTGGAAAGCAACCAAGCTGAAAAGCAATAATAATAAAGAATTTTTAAAAATAAGGATAAGTTAAAGAACTCTGGGACAACATCAGGCATACTAACACCCACATTATAGGGTCCCAGAAGGAGAGGGTGGGTGCAGGAAACTTACTTAAAGAAATAATAGCTGAAGACTTTTTTAATGTTTATTTTTGAGAGGGAGGGAGAGTCAAGTTGGGGAGGGGCAGATAGAGACAGAAACACAGAATCCGAAGCAGGCTTTAGGATCTGAGCTGTCAGCCCAGAACCCAACACAGGGCTCAGTCCCACAAACCGTGAAATCATGACCTGAGTCAAAGTCAGATGCTTAACCAATTGAGCCATTCAGGCTCCCCTGAAGACTTTCTTAACTTGGGAAAGGAAACAGACATCCAAGTCCAGAAAGCAGAGAGCCCCAAACAAGCTGAAGCCGCTGAGGTCCGTGACAAGACACATAATAATTAAGATGTCAAAGATTAAAGAGAGAATTTTTAAAGCCGTAAAACCAAATATTTATGTACAAGGGGTCCCCCTAAGGCCATCAGTGGAATTTTCAGTAGAACTTTTGCAGGCCAGAAGGGAGTGGCATGACATATTCAAAGTCCTGAAAGGAAAAAACACGAAACAAACAAAAAAACCCTACAACCAAGAATACTCTACTTTATTTGGCAAAATTATCATTCAGACTTGGAGGAGATTTGAAAAGTTTCCCAAACAAACAAAAGTTAAAAGAGTTGATCATCACTATACTGGCCTTACAAGAAATGTTAAAGGGACTTTTTTTTAAGCAGAAAAGAAAAAGCCAGAATTAGAAGAAAATATGAAAGGAAAAAGAGTTCACTGGTAAAAGCAAACCTATAGTAAAAGTAGTAGGTCAGTCTCTTATAATGCTAGTATGAAGATCAAAGACGGAAGTAATATAATCAATTGTATCTCCAAAAATTATTTAAGAGACACACAGAATAGAAAGATGTATAAAATGTGACATCATGTATATCAAATGTGGAGTGGAAGGGAAACATGTAGTGCTTCTAGAATGTGTTCTAACATAAGTCACTGTCAATATAGACTATTATATATAGGATATTATATAGGAACGTCATGGTAATCATAAACCAAAAACTCATAACTGTTATACAAAAAATAGAGAAAGGATTCCAAACATAACATTAAGGAAAGTCGTCAATTCACAAGGGAGGAAAGTAAAAGAAGAAGAAGAAAGGAAAAGAGAAAAATTACAAAAAGAACTAGGAAACAATTGCAAAATGGCAATAAGTAGTTACCTATCAGCAATTGCTTTAAATATAAATGGACTAAAGTCCCACTCAAAAGGTGTAGGGTGACTGAATGGATAAAAAATGAGATCCATCTATATGCTGCCTACAAGAGACTCACTTTAGACCTAGAGATTCATATAATTACATCCAGACAGAAAAATCAAGAAGGAAACAGTGGCTTTGAACAACACATCAGACCAGATGTACTTAGCGGATATATAGAGAACATCCCATCCCAACAGAGCGGATACACATTCTTTTTAAGTGCAGATGGGACATTCTTCAGGATTGATCACATGTCAAGCCACAAAACAGACTCGATAAATTTGAAAAGATTGAAATCAGGGTACCTGGGTGGCTCAATCAGTCGAGCGTCTGACTTTTGATTTCCGCTCAAGACATGATCCCAGAGTCTTGGGATCCAGTCCTGCATTGGGCTCCTCACTGCGTGTGGAGCCTCCTTGGGATCCTTTCTTAATCCCTCTCTGCCCCTCTTCCCCACTCTGTCTCTCTCAAATAAAAAAAAAAAAAATTTAAAGTTAAAAAAATAAAATTTTTACAGTTCAATAATATGGAAACAACTCAATTTTTAAAATGGGCCAGAGATCTTAGCAAAACACTTCACTAAAGAAGATACACAGCTGGCTAATAGTATTAGTGCATGAGAGGATGCCCAGTTTCAGGGAAACACAAATTAGGAGTACAAGGAGATGCTCCCATGCTCCTACTTGAATGGCCAAAGTGTAAAAGATTGACCATCTTCAGTCCTGGTGAGGATGCGGAGGACCTGGAGCTGTCGTTTCCTGTGGGGGGAACATTCAACGGTATGAGCATTTTAGAAGAGTAAGCATACAGCCACACAAGTACTCCCGTCCTGGCTATCTACCCAGGAGAAAGGAAGTGTCCTCACTAAGTGTCCTCACTTAGACTTGCACACAGATGTTCATAGCAGCTTTGTTTGTTTGTTTTCATGAGAGACAGCATGAGCCAGGGAGGGACAGAAAGAGAGCATCCCAAGCAGGCTTCACCCCCAGCTCAGAACCGGACTTGGGACTCAATCTCATGAACCATGAGATCATGACCTGAGCTGAAATCAAGAGTCAGAGGCTCAACTGACTGAGCCATCCATGCGTCCCCATAACAGCGTTAGTTATTAGAGCCAATAAATAATGATACGATTCCACTTATATATAGTTCTGGAAAGATGCAGCTTAATCTGTGTTTACCTGAGGAGAGAGGTAGGGCAGGAAAAGGAGAAGAATCCGCACAGACACCAGGGAACTTTTGGGGGGTGACAGAGATGTCACCCTCTAGAATCTGGCCATGGTTTCATGGGTGTGTGCAAACTGTGCACTTGAAATACATGCATTTTGTCGTATGTCACGTAAACCTCAGGAAAGCTGTGCAAACAAATCAGTTGTTCAGAAGAGGAAATGTAAGCATGGCTTCGTTCTGAACCCGGAAATAGTCAAACAGTGTACATGCTGAATTTTTTTATCAAAATATCATTATACTGGGGAATGGAAAGTAGGGGCAGATGTGGTAGAGAGGAGGAGAGGGTGGAAATCCTCATCCTCCATAGTGGAGGCTCAGCAGATAAAGTCTACCGCTGAGAAAAAAAAATTAGGAAGGACCAGCTCAGGCATGTTGTTCAGACACATGGAGGTAAATGCCACAAGAATCTGGTTACAGTGGCTGTCTCTGAGAGAGGGGCACCAGAGATTATGGGCCTCAGTAACACGTGTGGAATTAGCTGTCTAAGCCATGGGAGGGTATAACTCTAATATAAATTAAAACTTTTTAATGCTTTAGCAGTGCCTTAAAGCCACAACCCCCAGTTTATCCAGCTGTAGAAGGAGCTGTTGTGTGATGTGCGCGTGCGTGTACACACACACACACACACACACACACACACCAAGCTCCACCCAGAACAGGTAGAAGGTACAGAGGGAGGCCTCTGGCCTGATGTGAGGCCCTGGGCAGAACAGAAACCATATTTTTAGCTGTGGTGTTCTCAAGAACACCAGGCAGTTTTGCTTTCAAAAGCTCCAGTAGGGGCGCCTGGGTGGCTCAGTTGGTTGGGTGACTGACTTCGGCTCAGGTCATGATCTCACAGTTTGTGGGTTTGAACCCCGCGTCGGGCTCTGTGCTGACACCTAGCTCAGAGCCTGGAGCCTGTTCCAGATTCTGTGTGTGTCTCTCTCTCTGACCCTCCCCTGCTCACGCTGTCTCTTTCTCTCTCAGAAATAAATAAACATTAAAAAAATTTTTTTTAATAAAGAAAAGTTCCAGTAGTTAATCTTGTAGGGACACAAACGTTGGGATTTACATGTTTCTAATGTGCTCAAGCTGAGGGTTGCCGAATCCTTTCCATTTCTCTCATGGTAAGAGCCCCAAATGGAGATCCTTGAGAAAATGTGATGCTTTGAAGATAATCGTCTACTTTTCTCCAAGCTATGTGGGAAGTGGAGGGCTGATGACCTATTAAGTCTGTGTTTCCTGTTCTTTTTCTAGGTGGTCACTTCTTTCATCGAAACTCCTTGTCTCCTCGGAGCCTGGTGTATGAAAGTGAATTCTCCACAATCGAGCCCTCTTTGGACATGTATGATGAGAACAAAACCTGATTTTTCTAAATGGGCTCTGGGGGGTCACCTCTTTTGTGATTTGATTTCTGATCACCTTTCTTATTTTGTATTCTTCTGTCAGCGTCCATTTTGGAAGAATGGCAGGGCTTTCCAAGCACAGGTTGGGGCTCAGGGTTAAACTGCAAGGTACCCCAAGGTGCAGCTTTGACCACAGTGTTGTTGACCAGGTGACCTCGGAGCACTAAACGCCCGCCCAAAGCTGGCCTGAGAACATGGGCCCCAACAAGCTTGGCTGTTCCCAGAGAAGAGCAGGGGCCCAGGGGTCAATGTTGCATTGCAAATGTGTCTCTGAATAATTACATGCATATTCTGTGTCAGGGTGACATCGGGGTTTTTTAAATACCTTTTGTGCTCCCCACTCACAGTGCATACTTAAGCTTGCAGGTGCCACTTCTCACTGACGTGGGGCACAAGTTGCCGCTACGTGGCCTGCTCTCTATCTTCCTGTCTCTTATCCTACTTTCTGTTGAGGAGCCTCTTGCCAGAGGTTCCTGAGAGAAAGGCTTGCCTTTCATCCCTCCCCAGAGACTGACCACCACCCAGCGCACCACGGTGCAGGGGGCGGTCTTGCCCATTGCTGTCTCCAGCCTCCCTCCTGAGAGCATGACACGGGGCCGAGTGTTTTTGTGACCACTGAAACCCTGAATGCCCCGACCCCGAGGCCTGTAGACTTGTCTGCTTGGTATCTGCTGAGGGGTGAGCAGAGGTCAACCCCGCGAGGCCAGCCTGGCAGTCTTCTCTGGGTGACCTTGGGATGGCGGCCAATGGGTGTGAAGCCCTGAACAACTCTGAGTGTTTTCCTGAGAAGATCAAGCCCCCTCCTTGCTGTTAGATGTAAGATGAGCACCCTTCTTCAGTCTTACTGGTCTGACCCAGTTGCCTCCCACCAGCCTTGGCATGAAGAAGACACAGGGACTTCTAGAAAAAGACATGGTGGCCAGCATGGCGGACATCAGGGACACACGTGCTCGCCCCACACGCCTAGGGATGATGTCGAGTTAACATCACGAGAAGCATGTGTCTGAAGTAATCCCAACACAGAACCACGAGAAGCAAATCTGTAAAACAAAATTGACGCCTCCTTTTTGCTCAAGGACACACTGTAGAGTAGCCTGTTTCTCTTATGGATGGGAGCTATACAGAGATGTAAATGTGTTCAGGTCCTTCGATCCTTCTTAACGAGAATTGGAAACTTCAGCCTCCATATGCTTAGATCTGGCAGCAAACCACTCAGACCTGTGACCCCCACCCCCGACACCCTGTGATTTTTATTGACTCCGTAAAACAGAAATTCTAGGTGAACACTTGTTATTTTTCCCTGTGCATCTGGCTTCTCCTCTAAGTGTCTGTTCTCGTCACTTGTTGCTAGGACGCCTCAAAATGCAGTTGCACCCCCGAGCAAAACCCCTCAGAGAACCAGGGTAGTGACGGCCATTGGGAGCCTCACCTCAGAGTGACCAGCGGCGTTCTGTCCATAATCATTTGAGGCTGGAACAGTGCGAGACTTTTAAGGTCTTAGCAGCTTTTTCTTTTTACCTTTACCCAAGGGCTTCTGTTTGTTTTGGGGTTTTTTTTTAATTGTCTTTGTACTATAAAAATATTTTTGATAAACAGCTTCCAGAGAGCACTGTTCAGAAAGACAGGCTTGCCCTGCTGGCTTCGTGGTGAGGGAGTGAGTCTCGAGGAGATTAGAACTCAGTGTGCCAGGCACACACCCAAGCTCGTGTTTGCTTTGGCTCATCCGACAGGGAAGATGGCTCAGTTCCGCCCGGGTTGTCCGCACCACGACCTTGTTTTCCTGCACCAGAACTGGGACCCCAGCAGGGCACTTGCTTCTCATTTGTACAGTCTCACAAAAGCGTAGACATTAAATTTCACGCAAGACATTCCTTTAATGGAAAGGAATGAAGTGACCTGAGAAGAAATTAAAAACTCGGGCCCCTAAAAAAAAATCTACCTATTAAAGCACATTTGAATTTCTGGCAAATCTAGGACACGCCTTCCCTGTCAAATAACCAAGGAGGCATTTCTTGCAGGGGAATTCACTCAGAATAGTACTCTGGGTCCCGGCTCGACATCTTTTCCCTAAAAATTGAGGCCACTTTCCTGCTCAGCGACAGAACGTCCTGCCTTTGTCGGGAGGGACAGTAACTTCTGTGTGGAGGCCGTGTCCTCCGGGAATAGCAATATTTGTCCCAAATAACAGCCTCTTTGCTGGCAGTGGTGCTGGAGACTTCTCTGCGAGGCCACGCCAGGGACCCCAGAGAGCGGAGCGGGGCCCTGGGTGAGAACATCCTTCTCAACACCCCTGCCTCTGAGAAGTTGAGGTTTGGGAGCAGTTGGCCATACAGGCCTGGGTGGGGTTACAGAGAGACTCTCTTCTCCGAGATATGAGGATCTCAGTTGTTGCAAGTCTTACAGCCACAGTGGTTATTAGCCAGGAAGCTTCTGATCGTTTTTGTTGTGGGGGAGTAGGGCGGGGAGGGTTACTATTTGAAGAACAGAAGGGTTGGAGGAACCAGCTGCTTATACCACAAGCACTCTATCCCTCCCGCGGGCTGCTCTGGGCAGGCCCGGCTCCCGCCTCTTCCTCCCGGCATGGCCTCCACCTCGTGTCCCAAGTCCCAGGCCAGGCCGGGTTCAGTCCTCTCAGTATGCACCGCAGGACTTGTGGAGTGGGGTCTGGGGGAGCCGTAGCCATCACCTGGTCAGCTAGGAATTGGGCCGCTGCAGTTAAAATGCAGACACTTACGATTTGGTTATGTTGAATGTGCGAAGTGAGGAACTGCCCATAGCTGATCTGTCAGGGAGAGGGAAGAGGCCCCGGGCCAGGAAACAACAGGAAGGCCGGGCATGGCGTCACCCCTGGTGGGTGGGCAGTGTGCCAGCGCAGGGCCCCCGGCCTCGGCCCCTCAGGGGAAGACCAGCCCTACTACCAGGCGGCTGACGACACCTCACCTAGTCTAAGGAGCCTGGCTTTTGAAGGAAGACTCCATTCCCCAGCCACACTCCCCAGGCCTGGCTCAGAGGAACTTCCAAGGGGCACTTTCTGAACACCCATTTGGACTTGAGGCCACGCCTGTACTGCCAGCCGGCCTGCTGCACCCAGCAGCCCCGCTTCCAAAACACGCCGTCGCTAGGGTTTAAACAAAATAAGGTTACTGAATTTGACAGAGCGGATACTTCCTACGGGCTTTATGAACTCTTCTCGTATTTGTATTACCCCTCACACCCAGTTCTTTCCGTGATCTCCCCATTAACCTTCATGACTGAGGCTGTGGCTCTGCTGTAGGCACACAAGGAGGTGGTGGTAATGTCAGGTGGCCTTGACAAGCAGTTGCTGCTCCTAAATGTCATGGAACAAAACACTGGTTTCCAGGAAGTGAAGGTAGAAGGAAAAGGGTGGGATTACGAGGCTAGTTTCGTCACGAGACTTTTATTCCATTCTTACGATGTGCCCCACTCCGAGTTGAGGGGGCTCCTGTAATCATGAAGACCTAGGCTGTTCCAGAATACTGGCCAACTGCGCTGTGAGGCCAAACGCAATGAGGGCGAGTCACGGACAGAGGGGTTTCCCAGGGTGTGGAAGGAGGGGCACCAGGCAGCCCTGGTGAGGTGGCGGGACGGGAATGCAGGAGGAGGGAGGAGGAGCAAGAGACTGGCAAGGGAGTGGGTCTCGCTCCCGGGGCTGTGGGGAGGGCCCACATCTCAGGGAAAGGGCAGGAGCAGGGAGGGTGTGGACCAGAGAGGCACCGCAAGGCCCAGGTGCTGAGGCAGAGCACGGGGCTTCAAAGTTGGGCCCGAGCCTGGGGTCCCGCCAAAAGTGGAAGAGGAAGGTACCACCAGCATGAAGAGCATATCCAGATGGCCAGTCTCGGTGGCCGGTGGGGGCTGGTGGGACCCAGGGGGAGCTGCTGTGGGGACACTTTCCACCTGCCTCTAGAGGGAGGCCTGGAGATGTGGCTCTGGATGTCAGGCAGCCTGAGGGGAGGAAAGGGTGGTCGGAATTCCTGGGAAGCTGTGTTTGAAAGGAGCAGTTTACCTACACCTACCAAAGTAGCCCCCATGTAATCCCAGTCCCTCAGATGCCTCAAACCTCTCCCTCCTCTCCCCTTCTCCTTCTTTCTCCTCCTCTCTCGCTCCCTCCCTACACCCCCTATACCCACACACTTAGAGCAGTTAGACTCCCCAGAGAAGGTGTCCAGCCGGCCCTGGTGTTCCCTTCATTCACATGATGGTGGAAGCCAGAGTGGGGCTGAAATTGCCCAATGACATGAGAGCCAGGCTGGGGACACTGACATTTAAGGGATGAGCAGAAGGAGCACCTGTCAGCAACCAATTTACTTAAACCACTGAGTGTGACTTCCATCTTCAAGAAAGGAGGTGTTCGCGTGACCGCTCACTCCCAGAAACAGTTTAGAGTGGTCAAACTGAGCGCTCACTCCCAACGCCCGAGGAAAGGATCATTATCACAGGGTGACCATTAGGGCACCGACAGCTTCAAGTGTCTTCCCTGCTAAGGGCGGTTGTCACAAGGGAGGCGCACCTACTTGTACCTTTTCTTGTGGCCTCCTTGAGAAACCATTCCAAAGCCTAGTGGGAAAAGGATAAAAATGAGTGTATATGTTCACATCACATCCATGGATGCTTCGCAAAACTGGGAAACTAATACGTTTTAAGTCTCGTAACATCAGAGGAAATCCAGAAAGGATACAGAGGTAAGGTGCCTGTGTTGGCCGCATGGAACTGTGCTTTCCTTACTGTCCTGCAAAGCAGCAAGAAGAGCCAAGCATGGCAGAAGGGGGAAAGGTCTCCCCTCCTCCCCACCCCCGCTCTGAGACTGAGACCCTAACTAGCTGGCCTCTTCCGCGCCCCCTCTCTAGGGCTCCACTGGGGTGCTGGTGGAGTCAGGAAGGTTGCTGTCTTTCTTAGGAGTATCCTGAAAGATCCCAACTGACTGAGCCTTGACGACGAGAGCCCAGGGGGCCCTTAGTAGGCATGAGATGATAGCAGTCCCCTGTGATCTTGGAGCTGTGTCCCACCAGCCGGCCTCCAGTGACTGTGGAGGGGAAGGGGTGCCGGCAGCCTCAGCCGCTTAGAAGGACAACATGTCTACATCCGAGACTTGGCTCTCATGGTCTAACAAGGCCCCATGGGGGCCCCCAGCCCACGACCTAGGACTTGCCTGGGATTTATCCCTTCAAAGTTCACTCTAGCTCAAGCCATCGTTTTTTTGTTTTTTGTTTTTTCTGTTTTCTTCACTCTGACTTGGGGGAGAAGGAAGATACTTTGTGACAAAAACAATTTTTCAAAACTTTGAATTTCATGCAAACTTAATATTTGAGTATTATACTTTCAGAAGGATTCAGTGCTGCTGGAATCCCTCTGACCTTCGTCCTGGGCTTTCCTAGTTCCTCCTGCTGAATCTTCTACATGCATATACCACGAAAGACGGAGGTTCGAGGTGGCACCGACCCGGCCTGGCAGCCTGAAAGGAATGAGTTTCTCTGAAACAGCAGGCCCAGGGAGCGTGGCCAGGGGCCCAGAGACAGCTGCCTGAGCCCCAGTGCTCAAGCCAAGGGTTGTGTCGAGAATCAGCAGAAGCGCCTTTATAAACCACACATATTCTCCTTTGGTGGAAAAGCTGAGAGCTGGAGGAAGTCATTAGCACCCTTTTCTCTGAATCTCCTGGGACATAGCCTCGAGGAACCCCGGCCCAGACAAATGCTGGCCTGAAATGGCTCATTTCCCACCAGTCCACTGTCATCCACTTGGGTGGGCACATGTGCAGGAAAGGTCATCTGGCACGTCGGTCGGTCATCTGGCAGCCCTGGCTGGCCTTTGCCAGCTCCTTACCCCCTCCACAATCACTCTCACTCTCCAGCTGTCTTTAGGACTCCTGGCAACTGTTGAAAGCCCCAGATGATCGTTCTGAGGTATATTTTTACAAATTTAACCCAGCACAAAGTGGATCCTGACTTGTTTTCAGAATTACCCTTCATCCACAATTAAGTCCAAGTATATTTATGCTGTGTGATACTAAAGGACTATTCTAATTTTAGTGACTGGTAGGTACTGAGCCGAGATGGTGGTAAAAACGAAAGGTCGGGGTCGGGGTAAGGAGACACTAATATCCAGGCCACTTCTTTACCTTCACTCAAGTAAGCTGTTGCTAAGCAGGTTAACTGCCTGCCGACTGCCAGCATGCTTGGTGGACTAAGTCAACTAGCTGTGGCCAGTGTCTGTGTCCCCAGCACGTTTCCTGGGTGCCCAGCCTGAAATGACGCATGCCACCCTAGAGAGGGCGCTGTGTCCTACATCCCCCTGGCTTGCTGAGCCCGCTGGAGGAGGGGTGCCCTTGGCTGGTGCTTCCGGCCAGAATCTAAAGCTGAGTCGAAAGCTCCCAAGTGGTCGTGTCCCTGCCTGAGAAGACCTGACCGGTGTGATCACAGAAATAAGAAAAGGCTCCAAGCTACAAAATGCTATTTGGGGTCTGGGGAACAGCGTCACCTACT